TCCCTCCAGCACCTCTGCTGAGTGTATGTGAGCTAGGGGGCTCTCCTACCCCCGCAGGCCTACCCCAGGGCCTTCCACTGTCTGTCCTGTGACACCTCATAGCTTAGCACATGCTAGGCGCCTTCATAACCACCAACAGTTTCCTGTTTCCAAGCAAGGTCCACTGACTAGACTTCAGATTCTACCAGAAATAATGTGGCTTTCTGCCTGAAGTGTCAGATGACATAGAGGTAAAAATGCTTGACTGCTGACTGAAAGGTTAGTGGTTCAAACCCACCAACCACTCTGCAGGAGGCAGATGTGGCAGCCTACTTCTGTAAAGATTAAACCCTACGGGACAGTTCTCCTCTGTCCTATAGAGTCACTTTGGGTTGGAATTGACTTGGAAGCAGTGATTTCAACCCTGAATAATGGAGTCCCTGGTAGCATATGACCTAATATATCTAGCTTCCAAACTAAAGGTCAGCAGTTCAAATCTACCAGCTGCTCCTGAGAAAGATAGTCATCTCTCATACAGAATTACAGCTTTGAAAACCCAATGGAGAGTCTTCATAAGTTAGAATGAGCTTGATGATACGGGTTTTTTGGTCATCATAAATAGTTAATGGTCACCAAAAACTTGGTGGTCTGAAGCCACTCTCAGAAGACCTGAGGAGAAACACCTCAGAAGGCAGGCCTGGTTATTCACTTCCTAAAAACCAACCTTTAAAAGTTCTAGTTTGAAAAAAAAAATTCTAGTTTGGCACACAAGGGCTTCCGTAGGTTGGAAACAACTCTACTCAGGGGCAGCTGGATAATGGCCGGGTCGGCTGTCCCCACACTAGGGGATACATATACACCAGTGTGCATATACAGTCTACATCATTCCTTAAAATTAATGCACACCCTATGAATATTTCCTAAGGAAATAAACCAAAAAGTGTCTCATAATGTCTATTAAAAGATGGTTGCAGCATTGCTCCTAAGAGTGAAGAATTGGAACCAATTTAAATGTCCAACAGTGGGGGGCTGGTTCAATTATGTCTAATAAATCCAAGCCAAGAGCCATTAAACAATGCTGCAGACCATTATTTATTAATATGGAACAAGGGCTGCAGTGTATAGTTACGTGGGAGGAAACTAGACTACGCCTCTAGGATCCTGTTATGGGGGAACACATGTGCACGTGCGCACGCAAGCCCGCGCGCACACATACACACACACAGAGTATGTGTACAGCCAGGGAACATTAGAAAATTCACACCAGAGGATGTGTACGGGGTTCTCTGTGTGAGAACATACGAGTGACCTGTAGATTCTTGGTTTTACTATTTTGCCCTCTTCCTTCTAGTACACTATTGTGGTTCAGTGGTAGAATTCTCACCTTTCACGTGGGAGCCTGCGTTCGATTCCAGCCAATGTACTTCATGTATGGTACAGCCTGCCTGTCACTGGAGGCTTGCATGAAGCTATAGTGCTGAATAATGTTCATCAGAGTTTCAATTAAGAAAGACTAGGAAGAAAGGCCTGGTTATGTACTGACCCCCAAAAATCAAAGAAGTCTGATCACAGTGGTCCAGACCACACACAGTCCTGAGAATAGCACAGGGCTGGGCAGGATGTTGCTCCCTTGTGCATGAGGTCATCATGGACTAGAGAAAAACTTGATGGCAGCTAATAACAACAGCATGTGCTTATTTCCAGCAAAGAAAGAAAATTGCAGTCAGCATGGCAGGGCAGGATGAGGGAGGTATGTGATGTGGGTCCCAGCCTATGTGGGCCCAGCTGGTCACAGATGGCTTTCAGATGCCTGCTCTTTGTGGTCCCCAGGACCCAGCTGGTGGGGACAGGGTCTGGTGTGCTCAGAGAGGACAAGTAAGGTTGCAAGGAGTGGACACACAGAGACCAAAGAACCTACTCCCATCACCTCCCTGCACTCCCAGTTGGTTTGCTGTGGCCTTTGAGCTTGGGTCCCTGTTTTCAGGAGCTACAAGGCAGCCTTCTGGGGCCAAGGCTGCCATAGCTTGCATTTACTTCTCCCTGTCCAGTGTGTCCTTCCCCTCTAGGGGTCAGTGATGACATCTGACCCGCTGAGAACTTATTATCTTTCAACTGCAATTTAGAGGGATCTGCTTAGCATCTGTAAACTGTTGGAGTGAAACTCTGTGGTCTCCAGTGCACAGGAGAGGCCAATAGAATGGTGCATTGGTTTTCAGCAAAGTGTTTAACTTGGAGACTCAACTTTCCCATCTGGAAAGTAGGAATGATAACAGATCTCCCTTGAAGAACTATTCCCACGGGATAACTCTGGGAACAGGGGAAGAGACTTTGTGAATTTTAGCCATGTGCAAACATTACCTAGTCAGGTAAGTAAGTAACTATGTAAGTAATAATCAAGTAGCATTCAAATAAGTAACATACGTTGGCTCTGAGGGTCAGAAAGGACTTCTCAAAGAGTTTCATGAAACTTTTGTCCCTTTAGCACTAGGCAGGTTCCAGGTTGCTCAAGACCCACAAAAGCAGGCTTTTCCACCCAGGGGTATAGGCAAAAAGGAATGAGTGAATCATGGCAGACACAGTCAGGACCCAGAGGTCCTATTTTCAGAACTCCAAGGCATATAAAGAGGCAACTACTGCCTCTCTGGAGAAATAATTGCACTTCGAAGACCCAATAGATAAATAGGGAGTTCTGGCAGCTTAGTGATAAGGAGTTGCATTCCAAACCCAAAAGCAGGAAGATCAAATCCACCGGCTGCTCTGAGGCAAAAAGATAGACAGTCTTTTCCTGTGTGATTTACAGCCTCTGAAGGCCCAGTCGGAGGGTCAGCTATGAGTCGGTTCTGACTTGAGGATACTTAACAACAATCTATAAACAGGAAGTGCCATACAATTACTGCTGAGTTTCTCTAAGAAAATCTTCTAGTCGATTCCATATAGGGAACATTGTATGTCCTAATGCCTTGTGAGAGAACACGGTATGCATTAGGCTCTAAGAAGTTCTGCAGTATAGAACTTGGTTTCACCTTGTGCTTTGCAAGTATACGTGATCGTGGAATACTTTTTCTTCTTTTTTGTTTTGTTGGCTTGTCCTCTGTTAACATCCCATGGAACTAATATATGTAGCACAGAGAAGACTTCAGGATTGGGAAGCATAGGCTTGGACAAACAAGGCAGGCAGTGATGTTATAATTTTCAGTTCTTCCTCGGGAGCGCACTGGTTCTAACACTGTGCACATTTATCAGAAGGAGAAGGATGATGATGCAATAGCCATGAGCACTGGTTGGCTGAGTGGCTGCCCCAGGCCGAGCACTGGGTCGTGAGAGTCTTACGTTCATCCTTGCATCCCACCTTCAGTTGAGGAAACTGAGGCTCAGGGAGTTGAGGTGTCTAAATCACACAGCTTATGGGTGACACTCCCAGGGTCCAGCCCAGACAGTCTGCTCTGCACCACTGCGGCTCCCTGGTCTCTGAAAAAAGCCCATCATTCTTCCACTCACCCTCCTCTTCCTGACTAAATACCCTTAATGTATTTCCTTTATCAGAAAAGAGATTAGAGCCCTTGCTGGTTTTTCAAGGAGGCAGTAAAGATTTTGGGGACCTTATCTTAGCTGCTCCTCTGAATTTTAACCTGTACTTTACCCTGAGATTTGAGTCCTCTGCCCACTACAGAGCTTATCCCAGCACAAAAGGCTCTCAGGAAAATCTTTCAACCCAAAGACACACAGTTCGAGTTCACCAACTTCTCCATGGCAGAAAGATGGACAATCTCTACCTGTGTGCTTTACTGCCTCTGAAAACCCACTGGAGGGTCGGCTATGAGTGAGCATCCCCCACCCCAATGGTCTCAGGTCCCCCCACCCTGATCAGTCCCAGAGTCTGGAGGGGAAGGAACAGGCAGGAGGAGAGCCAGCAGCTTCTGTGGAGCACCTTTGGGTAACACACTTTGTGCCGCACTCTTCTGTTTTCTTGGGAGCCGTGTTGTGCAAGCTTTGTAACCATACTTCACCAGTGAGGAAACTTGGGCTCAGAAAGGCCAAGGAACTCTCCCATGGTCGCACAGAACATGTAGAATCACCTGTTGACTCTGTGTTGTAGCCAAGGGAAAGTACAGGAAGTAGGGTGCCTGATGGCTATGTGAGGTGATCAGGGGGTTCCTGCAGAGCTCAAGGAGTTGTGTGTTGAGACTGGGCATCTCCTGCCCCATCAGTCCTGTCTGGGGTGAGGTTGGTATCCATGTCTTCCCAGGAAAGCCAAGCATCAGGGTGTCCCTATTCCCTAGCTTTCTCCACCTTGATATCATTTACACAGGGAAGCAATAAGGGACACTTGGATCTGCTAAGGGCCTGAAGAATTGTCTGATTCTCACAAGCTCTGAGAATCTCAAGTGGAACTGGATGGAACCAGGCAGGTCCAGGGATGCCCAGATTTAAGAATGATAGGACAGAGGTCAGGGACTGGACCCTGGGAGTGGCCAGACCAGGTCTGGAGTTTGTATCCACTCTTGAGGCTCACTCCTGAAGGGCAGTGACAAATGTGACCCCAGCAAAAAGGGGTTGCCATGTGAGCGGGGCTTAGACATCTGTGGGGTCCAAGGGTGCGGGAAGGAATGTTATTGAAAAGGAAACTAGGGGCCTGGCTAACACAGCCAGGAGAGTCAGGACGAGTTGGTAGCTAGGCAGTGGGTGGGGTGGTTGACCCTTCTGTGAGGGGTCCTCTCTCCATACCTCAGGGACCCTCAGGCTGGTGAGAGGGGGTGCAGTGAGGGCCACCGGAGGGGAGGCCCCTCCTCTCTGGCCAGCTCTTTAAAGACACCTGTACTGGCAGTTCGGTGTCTGTCTTCCAGAACCTGCTCTTTACATCACCTGTTACCTTGCCACAAAACCCCCATCACTTTTTGGTCTTCACCGCTCTGCTCCGCTGTCCTGTTGCCCATCGTGGGGAGGAAAGGGAGGCCTGGCCAGTCATGCGCAGAGGGCGCCTCACATGCTATGGTCTAAGTGGATGTCACCCTTCTCCCCAGGTCTGGAAGAGGTCAGGGGCCTGGTTCTACAAAGGGCTCCCGAAGTACATCCTGCCTCTGAAGACCCCTGGCCGGGCTGATGACCCCCACCTCCGGCCTATGCCGGTGGAACCAGCTGAGCCAGAGCCCAGGAGCACTGAGACCACCCACATCTACACCTGGGCCCAAGGGAGAGGTAAGCCCCCCTGTGCCCCCTCCCAGGGCAGTGCCTAAGGCCTGGGCCATCAGCCAGCTGGGAGGGTACAAGGCATGTCCTCCATCCACATGTGGCCTGTACTTACGCTTGTCCCTGCAGCCTCAGGTCCCCACTGGGAGCCAAGCGAGCCACGTGGTCCTTCCACACAGCGATCGCCTGCCCTGTGCAGGGGCAGGATGGGAGGGTTCACTGGGGCATACTCACAAACAAGCACTGATTTGTGGGTAGGAATGTCACAAACAGCACCGTAGAATTTTGCAGAAATATGATGTTGATTGACATTTTTGGCAAGGTGTATAGCTGTGTCTTCCCAAAGTTGGCCTGTAGCTTCTCGTGTCTCTTTGCTCAGTGATGGAGGCCTCCTGGATGCCCTGTTCTGAGAGAGCAAACTGACATAGTGCTGGTGTCCTGGGTGTTGGTGGTGTCTGCATTAACATGGATGGGGGTGAGGCGGGCCACACAGAGCCTGGGGGAGACCCTCAGTCATGCGGGTGGAGAAGAAGAGCTGGTGGAGGAGACAGCAGAGAGAGGAGGAGGAAGGTCAGTGTTCCAGCTGCGGAGACCCAAGTTTTGCATCAAGGAGGAGGGGCTGTAAAGATAGGCCGGCTGTTTAACTGATTACTCCCAGGCCTGTTCCTTGGAAGTCTTCTCTGATTGCTGTCCTGTTGGAACCGGTTGGTTTTTGGAAGTCTGTAAACCTCACAGGAGGAGGTTGCCCACCTTTCTCCTGCAGATCTGGACCTCCAGAGGGTTGCTGAGTGTGGGTTAACACTGCAGCTCTTGACAGACCACCCCGCCAAAGCTCCCTGTTCTCTCAGGCTTTAGTTAAGCCTGCTCCTGTGTGAGGTGGCTGTCCTCTGATTACCCCATGTAGAAGCCAGGAGCTCTGCTTTCTGATTGAGTTGGGGGGATCTCGGGCCATGCAGACTTTCCTCCCAAGGGGTGGCTGGAGTGAGTACTAAGTGCTGCGTGAGACCAAAAGGTGGATGTGCTGGAAACACCCTAATTGGGGCCAAGGGAGGCGGTCAGCCCCACAGTAGCCCCGCTCTGTGGGGGTTCACGTGGCCTCATGGTGAAGCTGTGTTGTTGTCCCCAGGGCCTCCCCCCACCAGCTGCCTTTGATGACTCCTCTGCTGGCCCCTCAGCTGTCGCGCTCCAGGGACAGCCCATGAGTCTGGCTCAGGAGAAGGCACTGGTTCTTCTCCACCTACCGCTATCATCCTTCTAGAGTTGCTAACTGCCCACGCCTCAGGTCAGGGATCAGTCAGCGTGTTCTCGAGGTGGCATTCAGCTTCAAGGATGGAGTCAGTCTGGTTAATCTTTATTTTCCATACAGCTGGAAAATAAAGGGGGCTCCTCCTGTGTTTTTCCAGCTGAGAATGACCACCTCTCTCCACCTACAAGGCCACCCTCATGAATGCCCAGCGCCAGGCAGGGGATCAGGGTGCGGCCCATCTGGTAACCCAGCACGCACAGCACAATGTTCAGTCCACAATGAGCCTGGGCCAGCGGAACCAGAGAGCTCACACCCCACCACAGCAGAAGGTCCATCAGCAGGGCCGCATCACAAGGAGGCCCTCCTTAGGTGCTGCTTGGATGAGTGAATGAAAAATGAATGAATGAATGAAGCACCTACTTTCTCCCTGTCATCTGGAGGCCTGTGGTTTTCATTGGGACTCTGGGCTCCTTCAGGCCAGGGGTCTTCCGGAAAGCCCAGGGGATGCTTGAAAGCTGTGGACCACTCTGCAGGCAGGAGAAGCTCTGCTCTGAGACCCACCTCTGGGGATCCCAGGGCCAGTATCTCCTCCTGTCCCCCTCCCTGTCCCAGTGCCTGCTCACTAGCACCCAGCAGCTGGTCTCCCTCTCTCTCAGCTGCGCCTTTTTGGGGTAAAGGACCTAGTTCTCCCCTAAGTAAGATGGTTTTTGTCCTAGGCTCCCGTGAAATCACCCTTAAGGTAATTGGACTGTGCAGGTGTGGAATTTTCAGGCTGCTTCTAAGGATCTGTGCTGACAGGGGACTGGTCAGACTAAAAGACTCATGTGAGAAGCCTTATGTGGCAGGCTTTAGCCTGTTGGCAGGGCTGGCCAATAAAAGCCCTAAATACAAAGGCTCAGAGAGCTTCCTGGTTGGCAGAGGGAAATGGGCATGCATTGGGAACCTTCCTGGGCCCCAGCCAGGCATCTCCTCCACGTGATGATCCTGATGTGCATCGTTTCACTGTATTAAAAGCAGTCGTCCTAAGTAAGTATCATCTCTTACTGAGTTCATGAGTCATTCTAGTGAATTCTCAGGTGACTGGGGCAGGGGAAGAGAGTGCTATGTAAGCAGCTGATGTCAGAAATGATGGAGAAATAGGAACGCAGGGATAAGATTGATCCTTACTCTGGGAATCAGCTTCCTGCTGATTCTCATTTGGAAGCTCTTGTATTCTCTCCTGGCCCCACACCCTTGTCTCCATCTCTTCCTGTCAGCACCAGGACCCCCAGGGCCTCCTCTGTCTCCTAGCACATTCCTTCTCCTTTCTCATACCCTCCTTATTGGAAGAGGAATGGGATCAATAAACACAAGCCATCAGCTTTTTGATCCACAGAACAATCAAGTAAAATATATTGATATTTCCAGACGAGTATCTTTTTTCCTTCCTCCTCTGAAAATTCTGTGTTAATTTTTAATTACAACTCAAAGACATATAAAAACAAATATCTCCTCTGCTCACCACCATCTCCAAACCCCTTGTCATTCTCCCTACAAACATAAACAGGATACAAGGGTTGGGGTTTACTTCTTAGTTTGGGTGAGATATTTTTCAGAATTTTTCCTCCTCTTTGTTTTTAAATAACAGCAGTAATAAGAATGGGCTCATATGCATCACTCTGCATCTTGCTCTTTTTTGGCTTAAAAGAATATCATGGGCATTCCTCTGGGTCGATAATTATAGATTTGGCTTTATTCTTTTTAATGACTGAAGAAAGTCCAATAGGGTAGTGTACTGTGATTTAATTACTCCCCTTTTGATGAACATTCGGATTGCTCCCCGGCTTTTGCCACTGGAGGCAATACTGAAAAGCACGGATACACGCCACAGCAGGGGTGAACTCTGAGTGGAAGAAGCCAGACAGAAAAGATCACGTACTGTACAGTTCCTTTTATATGAACTTCCAGAATAGGCAGGTACGTACAGACAGAAAGTGGACGAGTGATTCTTTAAGGCTGGAGGAGAGGAGGATGTGGAATGACTGCTAATCGGTGTGTGTTTCCCTCTGGGGTGACGACGATGAATTGGATAGTGGTGATGGTTGCACAGCAGAGTCAATGTACTAAAAACCACTGAGTTACATACTTGTACAGGGTGAATTTGCCACCATATGAACCATATGCCAATAGAAAACAGGTTCATAAGGAAGTCTGAGAGTAGCACAGCAAAATGTCTTTTAGAAGAATAGTGAGAATTACCTGCCTAGATGTTAAAGCTTACTGTGTGGTTCCTCTCTGCCATGAAAACAGTACCGTATCAGCACCGAATGAATAGAATGTTTATTTCTAGGATAAAAGGCTAGGTTGAACTGGGAAGAGAAAGAATAGGCATAAGACGGTATGGAAGCTGAACGTTACTGGCTTTACAACTCAGTGCGGAAAACAGCAGGTTTTGTTTAATACCTGGAGCTAAGGAAGCAAAGCAAAGGCATGCGGCTGGAACCCACCAGCTGCTTCTCAGGAGAAAGATGGGCAACCTCCTCCCATGCAAGTGACAGCCTCTGAAAACCTGCTGGAGGGTCAGCTGTGAGTCCGTTCAGATTCGATGGCAGTGAATTGAGTTCAGGTTAATTAGCTTGTCATACGGGAGAAGATCCTCCTTTACTTCCACAAAAATCCACAAACACCACAGATACAGTAAAGATCTGAATGCTAAAGATAACACAGTCAACACAGGAAACCATTGGGTGAATTGCTTTCCTCTTTGTTACCCCAGGAAGACCTGGAGATAGCTCTGGCACCCGTAGTAGGACAGGTGGGCTCATCCCCTGAATTTTTCTGCCTCTCCCTCCTCTGCACAGTAGGTTCTGATATGGACCAAGAATTTGTCTCCAGGCCCTTTGGTGAGCCCCGGCAGTCTTTCCCCAGGCAGGACTGGGAAGCATTGTGGCTGAGTCTCTCCTGGTGACTGGCCCTGGAAAGGTGTCTTTACCCTCGCATCTGATGGATCTGAATGAAGTAGATTCTCTAGGCTGCTTCTCCTAGTAAATTGCTCCAAATTTATAGCAGCAGTAAGTAGAGTCAGCTTCTGCATACAACTTGGTCTCTGCTCTGAGTAGATAAAATATATACATAAACTATAAGATAGAAATGATGGGAGAGTCCTAAGTGCTCTTGGATCATAATCCCTAAAGGCTACCATTTTTGCAGGCTTATCTTTAAGCTGTATTTTGCTAGGAGTAGAAATGGATGGCACCATATTAATCGGGCATATTTAGGTAATGGGAGATAACAATTTTTTTCTCATATAGTAAGTTTAGAAGGCAGCATCTGTAGCTTTGTTTCAGCAGGTCAGTGATGCACTTCGGCAGATGTCTTTATAATTCTTGGTTCTTTTCTTATGGTCAAAAGTAGCTGCCACCATTCCAGCCATCACTATTAAAAAAGGAAGAAAAAAAAATTACAGGGAAATGGGTGGCACCAGAAGACTACTACTAACAACTCTTGAAGCACAAAACTGTCACATGATCTCCCTTGCTGCAAAACTAACTCATTGCCATTGTCAAGTAGATTTCAACTCATAATGACCACATAGAGCTGCTAGAACTGCCTGTAGAGTTCCTGTGAGTCTTTATGGAAGCAAACGGCTTCATTCCTCTCCCTTGGAGTGACGACTGATGGCTTCAAACCACTGACCTTTTGGTTAGTAGCTGAGTGCCTTACCTGCAGCACCACCAGAGCTCCTTCTTTTTTTTTCAATCGCTTGTTTCTTTTTTTTTTCTAT